ATATATATATATATATATATATATATATATATATATATATATATATAAAAATTTTAATTAATTATTTTTATTATATTATTTTATTTTTTAATATATATATATATTTTTTTTTTGTTACGCCTGCCTTAAGTCTTGAGCTATGTGTGCCATTGCAGTTTATTTTGTATAAATAAAGACCAAATAAAAGACGTAGTCCCTCCAGCGTGTCTTGGGTCTCCTCCCAGTCAGACATGCCAGAAGCACCTCCCTATGGAGGCGCCCAGGAAGCATCCTTACCAGATACCTAAACCACTTCAACTGGCTCCTCTCCATGTCGAGGAGCAGCGGTTCTACTCAGAGTCTCTCCTGATAACTGAACTTCTCACCCTATCTCTAAGGGAGAGTCCAGCTACCCTGCAGAGGAAACATTTCAATCACCTGTATCCACAATCTCATTTTCTTCAATCACTACCCAGAGTTCATGACCATAGGTGAGGGCTGGAACGTAAACTGACCAGTAAACAGAGAGCTTCGCCTTACAGCTCAGCTCCCTCTTCACCACAACGGACCAGTACAGAGTCTGCAATACTGCAGATGCTGCACCAACTAATACCACACAGGGTTTTAGCTCAACATCTGTGAAATGGACAGTTATTGATATTTGGGTTTATTAAGGTTTTGAGCTGTGTAAGCCATTTTGAGATGGACTGACAACAAACGTTAATAAGATGTAGACATACAGCCAATGACTACTTTCAGGAAGTTTCAAACAGTCCACTTTTAATTCAAATATAAACACAAGTACAACTTGTTTAACACATCGGTTACTAGGTTATGTTGAAATTTGTATTGTCGACTTGTAACTTTCAAGTTTGAACTTGACAAATTAGTCAGCTAATTGAAACAGCTAAAAAAATGAAATGTCACTTACTTTTCACTTTATTGTAAACAAACTGTTGAGCAAATTATGAGTAGTTCAACCATACCAACAAGTTACTGATGCTCCAATAAAATGAACTCAGCTAATCTAGTTAAACAAAGCATGTTAGTTTAAAAACATGTTTTTTTTCTTTAATTTTATAAATAGTATTTGCTGAAAACAATGCAACATGCTAATACAATGAATCTCCTGGTCAAATAGTCTGTTAGGGTGAATAGATACTGTATGTAGATAAGCAGAAGATTAAATAATTTTTATACAGCATCAAAGTTAAGATTAAATAGTTTTATAGATCAGTGAGATATTTCTGATCAGATTGTTATAAATGGGGAAAAAAATAACGTAAAGAGACTGTGGCTTTGTTTTCACCACGTCCTCTGATTTAGACTCATGAGGGTTAAAGAGTTCCTTTTTCTCATTTGAATTCTCTGACCATAAAAAAAGAATCTCCTCAGAATCATGGGTCATTCAACAGGCCTCTCTAATTTAATTAAAATATGGCCAACCTTGTTTCAAATATGCAATCCAATAGAGGCTAGAAGAGAAATTCAATAACTGACGTGCTGGATATATAAATACAGCTTTACTGTAAGCAGGTTACAGCAACGCATGGCTGGTTTGTGTCGCTAACCTCATTTACACAGACGTTATGGTTTCCTGTTTGCACAGAAACACTTCACCATCATCATTTACATTTCTACTAACTTCTAGAAAAGCTTCACAGAATTATCTGAGTACAATCATTTAAAAAAGGGGACAAAATATTTTTTAGACATGTAAAAGATAATTTTAGTGCAAAAGAATTAAACACAAAATGAGGATGGATTGTTTGATTGTTGGATCTCCTTTACTTAAAAAATATGACTAAATGAGTTTTTTTCTTTTCTTTTTGCCAGCGCAGTGACAGATCCTGGCAAGCAGTGGGAGCAACTTTATCCATGACCAGGCACAATGCCAGAGGCAGGGGGTTGACCAATGGAGATTTACCTATAGACACCCCAATTATTTGAGGACACTATACTTTTAAGCAATATAAAAATTAGAAAGCATAGTTTCCTTAGGGCAGCACAGTTGGTAGAGCTGTCACCTCTCAACGAGCAGGTCACCCCAGTTCAAATCCCAGCCCGGGACCTTTCAGGGCGGAGTTTGTATGTTCTCTCCGTGCATGTGTGGGTTTTCTCCGGTTACTCCAGTTTCCTCCCACAGACCAAAAACATGCATGTTAGACTGATTGGTAACTCTAAATTTCCCCTAGGTGTGAGTGAGAGAGTGAATGGTTGTTTGTCTCGTATGTCTCTGTGTGTCCCTATGAAGGACTGGAAACATGTCCAGGTGTCCCTGTGATGGACTGGAGACCTGTCCAGTGTGTCCCCCGCCTCTCACACAGTGACTGCTGGACATGGGCACCAGTGACTCCACGTGACCCGAAAAGGAAGAAGCGGGTAAAAGATAACGGATGGATGGTTTCCTTAAATGATTGAAATGGCCCGTTTACACACACACACACACACACACACACACACACACACACACACATACACACACACACACATATGGTGGTGGTCATCTTGGATTGTAACCTGTCAACTCCTAGATTCATCCAAACTTCAAAGTGAAAGTCAGTACTTCACTTATTGTAGGATTCCAGCTCTTTCCACAGGTTCCTGGTTCCTGGGAGTGGCACCAACGAGCTGTGGGTCATCTCCTTGATGAGCTCCAGGACTGTAAGTGGCTGCAGAAGTGTCCTTTCCCTGCTGGAGCATTAGATACCAACCAGTACTTGCTGTCGGCCTCCTTGTGATTCTTGAACTTAAAATAGTAAACGTACCTTGTTTTCTCCTCATGACTTCTAGTACCTGTCTCCTGAGTCTCCAGTCCTGCTCCTCGTGCCTGCAGAACATCAGTATTTACCTTTAGCTGCTCCTCTGCCGTTCTACCAGCAGCCCGTCAACAAACCTCTACGACCCACCTGCTTCTCTCGTCTTTGACCAAACCTACCTGGAATCCTCTGCCGTCCTTTCAACGCTACAAGACCTTCACTTTCCAGTAAGAACTTATCAACCAGTGCTCAACCCTTCATCATAACCAGACTCACTCTCTTCCTCTGTAGTAATACTGTAAATATTAAATCACTGTAAATGAATCACTGCATCATTTGAAGAGCTTGAGTCTGTTTTCCTCCGTCTGGTCTCTATGGGTTTTACCTCGCATCGTGATATTTATTGTCACAGTGATTTGTAGTTTTAATACACATCAAAGGCAACCCTTAGTGTGCAACTATCTTTCAACTTAATGTTGTAAGATTCTTACTTTGACATTGACTGCAGCTTAAAAACATGTAAAATATTTTAAAACTGAGTTGTGTACACTTCAGCCTTACATCTGCTGAACCTCCATCTGGTCTCCGCGGTAACAACATCGGAGGATGGTCTGCCGCTCCGCGTCCCACAGGTACTCCTTCAGGAAGTTGGCTGCCTGCACCGCTCTCTCCAGCAAGGCCTTGTTCTCCAGGGCAGCTCCAACACGTGCGAAGGCCGACAGCATCAGGCCTGTCGAGGAGAAAGCAGTAATGATGTTTGTGCTCACGATTAGCTACAAACTAACTTTCACGCATCTTCATCCGTCGTGTTTTTATTCAGCTTGGATGTCACAGTGTGTAAGAGCGCCAAAGTCCCAGCTTAGTTAGCTTGTCCCCCCTTTGAAGTGTCCCAATTCGCTCTCATCCCTCTCTCTATCTGTCCCTTCCTCTTTCATGTGGTGTATCAAAGGCGCTGGTGGACATCCAGGTCTTCAAAGTGCCGCAGCAGAGGACAGGTGATTAATGGAGGAGTTTGTTCATTAGAGAGGGGAAGAGGAGGCTTGGGACTAATTGGAGAGTTCTCGGGATCGCAGAGCCTCATTTGCTTATTAACACGGAGTCTGGAGGCATCAGCTGAGGAAACTGAATCTGTGGGTGTGTATACGTGTTTGTTTATGAGGGACCTTAGTAATTAATTACATTTGAGATAATGGGCTAAACAAACAATGTTAAGGAGCATCAAAACTGGCATCACATTAATGCAGAATAACAAGTGTTTAATTATTGTACACATTTGATGACACTGAAGACCATACTGTATGCTACAGTCATGGTAAAAAAAATCCACCCTCGTGTCATGGGTTGATTTTGTATCAGGACACACACAAAAAAAAAGAGATCAAGTTTTTACTAAAATTATTCAAAACTAACCTCAAGTGTAAAAAAAACAGACAAACCATTCCACCATGGCATTGTTTATTTAACAATAAATATAGGGAAATATGTAAATAAAAACAAAGTCCACCCATGCGGCTCAAAAAATTATTCTCAAGTAGAATAAAATCAGGACAGGGTCCAGTCTTCCCAAGAGTGGACATCCAGCAAATTCTTCCAATGGACAGACTGAGCAATGCTCAGAGAAATTCTCTTTCAGGGGAAACAGGCAGTTAGTTAGCTGTTAGTTAGCTGTTAGTTAGCTAGTTAATTGTTAAAGTTTGAAAGTATGGTACTTTACAATAAGGCTCCCCTTATAGATGGCTAATAAATAGTTTACAGATATGTTATTAATTCCTCTATAAACACTTTATAAAGCATTTATAATTGTTTATTATGCATTAATTAAGGATGACAGAGAGAAAAAAACTGACCAGTTTCTTGCCAAGTGATGAGCCAAATCTGCCACCTATATATTTCATTTAGAGTTGTTATAATAAACATTTCAGACTAAGTTATTACCTTGTAAGCACAAAACTGGCCAGTTTTGCCTCTCTGTCACCCTTAATTAATGCATAATAGGCAGTTTTTAATGATTTATAAAGTGTTTATAGAGGACATCAAGGTTCATGGTCAATAATCCAGGTAAAACATCAAACAATGTTCAATCAGGTCATCTGGACAGTTTTTTTGGGACTTCTCAGACTGATGAAGTCCTTCGGATGGAGGGCGAAACGTCTCAACAAAAAAAAAAAAAAGAAAAGAAAGAAACTGTCCAGATGAAATGACTGAACATTGTTTGATGTTTTACCTGGATTATTGAGCATGAACCTTGATGTCTTGAACCATTTTGGCTGTGGCAACTTGGGAGGAGTCGACGTGGGAGAGGACAGCCCCCAGAAACCATCAATCACCAGCAAACTGGTTGGTCCACTGTAGGAGTTTACAGCTTAGTGGGGAAAACAGTTTGTTTGGGACTTCTCAGACTGAAGTCCTTCGGATGGAGGGCGAAACATCTCTCAACAACAACCAAAAAAAAAAAAAAGTAACTGTCCAGATGACTTGATTGAACATTTTTGGATGTTTATAGAGAAATTAATAACATATTTATAAATTATTTATTAGACATCTATAAAGGGAGCCTTATTGTAAAGTGGTATCGAAAGTACAGTTTGTTTGGAAGAGCTGCATGAGAAAGATTTCATCATCCAACCATCCATCCATTATCTTTATCCGTTTCTTCCTTTTCGGGTCATGGGAGTCACTGGTGCCCATGTTCAACTATCACTGTGCGAGAGGTGGGGGACACCTGGACAGGTCTCCAGTCCATCACAGGGACACACCGAGACAAACAACCATTCACTCTCTCACTCTCACCTAGGGAAAATTTAGAGTTACCAATCAGCCTAACATGCATGTTTTTGGTCTGTGGGAGGAAACCGGAGTACCTGAAGAAAACCCACACATGCACGGAGAGAACATGCAAACTCCACCCAGAAAAGTCCCAGGCCAGGATTTGATCCAGTAACCTTCTTGCTGAGAAGCGGCAGCACCAACTGAGCCACTGTGCTGCCAGCAGAAAGATTCTTCTTTGTAAAAAGAACATGGCAGCAAAGCTTATGGATGTGTGTAGAGTTGCACCTAAATGAAGCACAATATCTCTGGAACAATGTTCTTTGGACAGACAAGATCGAAGTAGAGACATTGACCCAAAATGCACAGCGCCATAAAAGACAAACAAAGCAAAGCAACACAAACAATTCATACCAACTGTCAAACACAGTGAGGGCTGCTTAAGACAGATGCATAACTCGGCCATCTTGCTGTCTTTGAGTTGAACATACTCCTCTGTAGACCAATGTGAGGTCATCTGTCTGACATCTGAAGCTTAGAACTAACTGGGTCATGATGCAACAGAACAGCAGCTAACCTACAAAAAACATCTGAAAAAGAAAAGAATCAAGGCATTAATGACCCAGTCAAAGTCCAGACCTCGGTTTGACTGAAACTTGTGTGGGACCTTATGAAACCCAATGTGTTGAAGCAAGGATGTAAAGAAGAGTGGGTCAACAAGACTGATAAAGTCATACAGAAAAAGACTTTCAACATTTACCATTTAGAACCTAAAAAAAGAACCGATTGTTTATTTATGTCCTGATAAAGAAAACCGTAGAACTAAAAGAGGGTGGACTTTATGTTGCAACTTCCACAGAGGGACTCCTGCTAGTGCTTATATGTTGCTACCATAAAGAAGTATAGTGAGAACTTTACCATTCCATGACGCCAGCATCTTGGTGTCCAGGTGTGGGCATGGACGTGCCTTCCTTACTTCTGCCATTTTGGCCCTGGAAGAAGCCAGGCATTTGTTGACCTTTTCAACCGTAATGCCAAAGCGAGCAGCTGTTAACTCGACTGAATACCGAACGATCAGCACATTCTGGCCTCGCAGCTCGCCATGTGGGTCCTGACAGACAGAAGCACAGGGTGTTCATTGAAACTGATGGTGGTGTCAGTGCTTCAACGGACGGTCTAGAATACCTTAAAATACAAAGAACTGCAAAATAGTGTTTTCATGCAAGCGTCTAGATTCATCTGATGTTTATTTTTATTTTGATTTGAACTAATGAACATGAGGTTTTAAAGCCACTGATGACATCATGCTGAAACACACCTGTTGTGGTTCAACATTGCCTTGCTCCTTGACCCCGTAGTGATGCATAAAGATGTCTGCTTGTGTGGCAGCGTCAGTGGCGCCCTCCACCATGTCTGGCAAAAGCTCACGAATCTCTGAGGCCGTCCAGACGCAGAAGGCCCCTTCTCGCTTTTCTAGCCCCCCTGATGCTGGAACAGAGTCTGCATCCTCAGCACTGTAGAAACCTCCAGACTAAACGAGGGAGAGAAAGGAGCATAAAAATTAATGCTGAGCTAATGTTGGAGTAAATTATAGCATAGAGGAAAAATCATTGACTTTAGTGGTGGAGTAAAATGTGAAATTCATGCATTTTGAAAGTTAAGCTTTTAAACATTCATTAATCTTGAAAATACGATTAGTTGAGGATCTTAAAAACTACTTGAGAGGTTCTCATTAAGCATTTTGGGGAAGTCATTATCAATAATGTTTGTAATTTTGTATAAACTTATCATTTCTTAGCAGATGTTCCTCTAGCTACTGCTCTGGGCCTCATACTGTATGAGCAAAATATTGCAAATTCTTCATGCACTACTTCCAAAGAACAATACTGTCTTGTAATATTTTAAAGTAGACTTGATTAATAGCTCTTCAGGCTTTATGACGTTATTTTACTTTTGCATTGGAGCTGCGGCTGCTTTTTTAATAAATTTCTGTTTAATCCTCAATCTACTGAACAGTGTATACTCAAAATAACATAAAAAGTACAAAAAGTAAATACAAAAAATGTGTCTGGCCAGAACAAAAAAAATCATTATACACACATACATACATTTCATATACATGTCCTTCTCAAAAAATTAGCATATTGTGATAAAGGTCATTATTTTCCATAATGTAATGATAAAAATGAAACTTTTATACATTTCAGATTCATTGCACACCTGAAATATTTCAGGTCTTTAATTGTTTTAATACTGATGATTATGGCATACAGCTCATGAAAACCTGTCCCAAAAAATTAGCATATTTCATCCCACCAATGAAAGACAAGTGTTTTTAATACAAAAAACACCAACCTTCAAATAATCATGTTCAGTTATGCACTCAATACTTGGTCGGGAATCCTTTTGCATGAATGACTGCTTCAATGCGGCGTGGCATGGAGGCAATCAGCATGTGGCACTGCTGAGGTGTTATGGAGGCCCAGGATGCTTCGATAGCGGCCTTAAGCTCATCCAGAGTGTTGGGTCTTGCGTCTCTTAACTTTCTCTTCACAATATCCCACAGGTTCTCTATGGGGTTCAGGTCAGGAGAGTTGGCAGGCCAATTGAGCACAGTAATACCATGGTCAGTAAACCATTTACCAGTGGTTTTGGCACTGTGAGCAGGTGCCAGGTCGTGCTGAAAAATGAAATCTTCATCTCCATAAAGCTTTTCAGCAGATGGAAGCATGAAGTGCTCCAAAATCTCCTGATAGCTAGCTGCATTGACCCTGCACTTTATAAAACACAGTGGACCAACATCAGCAGCTGACATGGCACCCCAGACCATCACTGACTGTGGGTGCTTCACACTGGACTTCTGGCATTTTGGCATTTCCTTCTCCCCAGTCTTCCTCCAGACTCTGGCACCTTGATTTCTGAATGACATGCAAAATTTGCTTTCATTTGAAAAAAGTACTTTGGACCACTGAGCAACAGTCCAGTGCTGCTTCTCTGTAGCCCAGGTCAGGCGCTTCTGCCGCTGTTTCTGGTTCAAAAGTGGCTTGACCTGGGGAATGCGGCACCTGTAGCCCATTTCCTGCACACGCCTGTGCACGGTGGCTCTGGATGTTTCTACTCCAGACTCAGTCCACTGCTTC